GGTGGTTCTTGATGCCTTGACCCCAGCCTCAGTCTATTCCTTGTGAAGTTCACTCAAATTCTTGAATCGATTTAGCTTGACAATCCTCATAAGGCAGCGGTTGGTTGTGCATCTTTTTCTTCCACACCTTTTCCTTCCACTCAACTTTCTGTTAACATACTTGGATACAGCACTCTGTGAACAGCCAGCTTCTTTGGCAATGAATGTTTGTGGCTTACCCTCCTTGTGAAGGGTGTCAATGATTGTCTTCTGGACAACTATCAGATCAGCAGTCTTCCCCATGATTGTGTAGCCTAGTGAACCAAACTGAGAGACCATTTTGAAGGCTCAGGAAACCTTTGCAGGTGTTTTGAGTTGATTATCTGATTGGCATGTCACCATATTCTAATTTGTTGAGATAGTGAATTGGTGGGTTTTTGTTAAATGTGAGCCAAAATCATCACAATTAAAAGAACCAAAGACTTAAACTACTTCAGACTGTGTGCATTGAATTTATTTAATTCACGAGTTTCACAATTTGAGTTGAATTACTGAAATAAATGAACTTTTCCACAACATTCTAATTTATTGAGATGCACCTGTATGTACACAAGTGAATTTTTTATTATTTTTAAAGATTTTAAAACAAACTTTATCACAAGAGGTATAGAATGAATCATGCAGGACAGCATTTGTACATGTTGGAACTTACAGTAAAATGTAATATTTTGCTGCATGTTTGAGTGGAGTGGCATAGCTGACATATGCTACAATTTTGCTAGTTTTCTCAATAGCGAGTTAGCCATTTCCCCTTCAGTCTTACTGTAGAACACAGTTGCACATTGGATCTGCTGAATGGAAATATTAACAATGCATGCACTGCAGAGTATAATAAATGAAATATCCCATTTTGTCAGAGGGAAAGTGTACAACAAAAACACAGAAACAGAAAGACATTAATCAGAATAAAAAACAAAACAATTATTGGATACACGAGTCTACTCGTGCTCCAGCATCCTCGCAATCCTACACAAGAAAAACAGTCTGGATAACAGATGGAAGGATTAATCTGCTGTAAAAACTTCATACATACAGGGTTGGACAAAATCGTGAAAAACAGATGTTGCGTTATCTTTTATTTATCTTTCCATTGTCTATACTCTTGTATATCAGTGTAGTATCACTTGTGTTCAGCAGTATTTAGTACAAGCTGTGGGTGAAATGAGTGACCTGTTAAAACTTCCAAAAAGGGCAAATCATGGGAGCCTGTTTAGCAGAAGCATCAGTAACCTTAACAGCCCAACATTTTGGTGTTTTATGAATAGTCTTTACGATCATGACTGCTTGCACAAAGCATGGCAAGACTTCATCCATGACTTTATCAGTGAAGAACATCAGTGTGCGAAAACCAAAAGTGAATGACATGGACAGTCACACACTAAGCACTGTGTCTAGACAACACAGAAGCACTGCAGCAAATTGACATCAAATTTAAAATTTCACCTTGAAGAAGAAAAAAAAAAAAGACCACAGGGAACTTTACAAAGCCAACATCCATGAAAGAACTCCAAATGCTAAAACGTTCTTCACAGACACCATGCTAAAATGCAAACAATGTGGTGTCATGATCATAAAACCTGGGAGGGTGGAGCACCAAGATGAACTTCAACATCTGCCCTGACTTCAATCACCTGACTAATATTATCAAATCACTGTGGCCAGTTTTGGAGAGAACAGTGAGAAACAGATTCCCTGAAGCAATCGGCAGATGTTCTGATTCAGCTGAAGTCTATACAAATGTTGTATGAATATATTCCAAGAAGGCTGGAAGCTGTATTAAAGGCAAATGGTGGTAAAACACCTTAATAAAGAAATATTGCCTATTTCCTATGTATTCACATAATTTTGTCCAACCCCTGTAAGGTATGTAAAAGCTGTACTACAGAGCACCTCTGTAGAGCATCTATAACTTGAACATGACAAAGTGAGCCTGCAAAGGTTTTAATTGGTTATCAATATGCATACACTATAAAAAAAAAATTAGGGTTATTCACAAGTGACACTGGTAAGACCATGAAAATACGTGTAAAAAATGAAACAACTGATTCATTCACTATTTCCTGTCACGGTACGGTAAGAGAGCCCCATGGAAAAACAGGGTCTGGGTCCAAATACAGGTGAAACTAGATTTAATAAACAAAAACAGACAAAGCAAAACAGAAACAAAAACAACTCAACCAAGAACAGGACCGAGATACAAATGCGGCAACAGAAAGTTCTTGTATACACAACCTACAACAAGAAATGATAACTACCATTACAATTACAATTACAATTAATTCAGCCATGCAGAGTGATGAGTGAGAGGAGAATATATAGTCTGTGACAATGGGGAACAGCTGAGGGTGTAAAGAGTGACAGGTGAGTGGAGTCTGGGAAATGGAGTCCGGGAGGAAGTGCGATGGTGACCTCTGGTGGTGAGAGGGAGAAACACAGGGCCCGGACCCTGACATTTCTTTTCCCAGTGCATCTGAGCAGAATTTGAACTGGAAGTTTGTCAGGATTTGGTAGGGGATTCTTTTTGTTTACCACTTTTTTCTGAAGATAATTAAGTGTAAAAACAAAAACAGTTATCTACTATGACTTTTATGATATTATTAAGAATAATAAATTGACTCAGTAACTTACGTTCCTTCACCACTTTTTTCTGGTAAGAAAAAAATAGAAAGGTTGTTATTAGAATGTTTATCAAAAAATATGGTGTATTTAAGTTCTTGAATCTTAAAACTCACAAAAATTCTTACAAACACACACACACACACACACACACACACATACATTAGTGCAAGCCCCCGTATATAAACATGCATGTGAGGAAAAAGTTATACACTTGTAAAAAAAAAAAAAAAACATGCTCATGAAATTATAACGTACCATTAATTTCAGCCACTGTATAGCATCTTCAAAAGCTTTATCATTTCTTTTACATTTTAATAATCCTTTGTCCTCATAGAACAGACAGTCCACTGTAAGCGTATTATCCCTCTTCACAAATGTACTGCTGTTTGACACAACAGCATTAGGGTCAAATGTGTGATGAAGCACCACTATAATGACTGGCTTACTGTCTACAGAGTGTAAGAAAGAGAAGATGATTGTGAGATACCCAGTATACATATTATATGTTTCAGATTTATTTATTTTTATTAGGAATCTAATGCAATATCTTCTGTAAGCCATTTCTTACGTGTAATCTTACTGAGAGCAGCATCAATGTCAGTTCCAGTGCGAGAAACAACTGGGAAGAAAACTAGGTCAATATCACTGGGCTTCTTTTTCTTTTCCGCATTTTCCAACTTGATACCCCATGTCAATTTTATCTTAACCTTAAGACTTTTCTTGAACGTATTAGCGATGTCTTTGACACTGTGAGGTGTGTCGATGGAATATTTAACTGCAAAGAAAAAGCATATGAAAGATTTACAGGTTATGCCCAGTCAGTTGAGTTTAATAGCTTGAAACTTCTTCAGAATATTATTACAAATCATAAATTAAACTTGATAGGTAGCAAAATAGTCATATGACAGATAGTAAAGCTGTGAGACAACCTAAAATCATACTGATATGCACTTTAATCTATAATAATATCTAAATTCTACTTTCAATCAAACATAAACTGCTATGTTGAATGCTATTTTAGACCCTATTATAGGAGGCTCAAAATTCAGTCCTCATTTACTGACTTTCATGTTGTTCCACTTCAAACATCTTCTGTGGATCATAATAACCATCATTCACTTTCACTGTATTGGTAGGCCTACAATTCTGCCTGAAGACTTTTGCGCTTCACAGACGAAAGTAAGTCATACAAACCAGATTTATGTATGCATGTATGTATATATGACCTGCCCATTTAGGGTAAAGATTACGTTTATTAGGTTAAGATTGCGAATATGTATGGAAGTAAAATAATGCCATATGTCTTTGAAACAAAAAAAAATGAAAAAATAATGCATTGCATTAACAGTGCTTGCATTTTAATGCCTTGTATTTCCAGGGCTTGCATTTTTAGTTCCTGAAATCTAACATAGTTGTTTATTCAAGCTGTGAATATTTCAATTCAAAATATTTCACACACATTTTCATAATTAAAAATTCAATAATTCATATTCATCTTCCAGAATTCACTTCCAAAATGTTCAATCTATTTAAAAATACGATGTATAATATTCGACAGGCAAATTTCGGTCCATTTTATTTCACTTTACAAATTCGCTTCCACAGATTTAGTGGTTAAAATTCGGCAGAAAATTCGCCGTTGCACATCCGGGATCTGCAGGAATAGCAGTAGAGCACCGATGAATGAGCTCCAGCTGCTGTCAGTCGCTCACCAGCAGGTGGCGCAAGCGGCTGTTGATGAAGACCAAAGCAACAGGTGGCTTAAGTCATTCATTCACAAAAACTGATCTGCAGGAATGGAGCAAGCGCCAAGTAGAAGTTTTGATTATTGGGGCCAGTATAAACATGTGGAAATGCTGATTGTGTGTGTGTTTAATACAGCATCGTTGTTGTATTAAACATCGCTGTTTCCCGTAGCCTACATGTAAGCAGCGTTTGTAGCTCCCCGATTTACGAAATGTTGGACTCTTCAACTGATGATTCACAATGAGCTTTATTAAAGATCCGTCACCGTAGATTTGTAGTAATCTCCGTTTAAAAGCCATAAGACACCATGAATCACCGTAAGAGCTTTGTATAAAAAAAAAAAACAAACAAAACATAATATAAATAAACCCTGAAACAAACATCAAACACAACAACGATTTAACACACCTAACATCATACAAACAAATAACCATTACTACATAAAAGAAATCCAAAACAGTACAGATAACAAAGTCAATATTTTACCTTAGTCTCCATCCAAACCAGGAGCTAAATCCTTGAAGTTCTCTTTAACCGTATACCTTTGAATGAATCAACCATGTGTGTCTTAGCTGCACTCCTTACTAGAACGCTTTTAAGCACACCGTAATATCCGCTTACATGGAATGTCAAAATAAAAGACTTCGTTACCACAAAACTTATAAACTAATAAAAACCCCAGAATCCAACAATTAAACATAATACACATTCGAAAATGGACAACGTAATAAATCACTTAAAGAATATCAAAAAATTGGAAAACTAAATAGCATAAAAGGAAACACCCAAATCCTTAACAGCGTTCTCTACCACAAAGGAGATTATAATGCTGTTTTACCCAACGCTGAAGTACAGAACTAACATTACATCTAAGGAAGACATATATTGCTTTCGGTTGCTTAGTTTCTGTAGCTTTGTATCATGGCTTGTGTGCCGCAGTGCTGTAATACTGGGGATCCCCTCGCGTCACACTCCGGGATTCCTCAACAGTGAACTAATACAGTGATATAAGACCTCAGATCTCAGAATACACTTTATTGATGATTATGCGAACTATATACAGGCAAGCGAATGAGGTTGCGAAGAACGCAACCCGCTGCATTTTCTTTAAATTTCATTCCCTTTCCACTGATCTATAGAGTCGACAGTCCTACAGAGATATCAATACCACGATTAGTTTTAACAATATGCAACCACTTTATATCGACATTAAAAAAAGGAGTTCAAAACCGCCTAGGTTTATTGTTGCTGCAACTTTAAACCGAAGAAAGCATTGACGGCTATCGCACCCAAGGGACCGTCTGACAATTCCGCCGACTGGGTTAAAACGTCCAATGTATTTTAATAAAAAAAATTAAATAACACACTATCAAATTCTAAAGCTTGTATTGCTCATAGTGATTCTCTACAGGTGAGAATCTGCCAATACCTCCCTTCATATATGTACATGTACAGCAAGGGGGGTATTAGTAAAATTGTACCGATACTAAGCAGGGCTGTACAGTGCGACATATATACGAAAAAACTGGTCTGTGCGATGAATAAATTGACCACTGTAGCACGCATGCGATACAGTTTTGCATGTTCATAACACAGCCGCTTAATAGTGTGAAGTGATTTCTTGTGCTTGTTTGTGTGTGTGAGATTAATTATACTTGGTAGTTAGGGGTGTGCGATATGACGATTTTTGATCGTGGACGATTAAAATGTCTCCATGATCAGCTTTTGAAGAAATATCGTTGTATCGTGCTACAGCGCACATTCTATCAGCTGCAGACAGTTCTGGCTCCTCCCTCCGTCTCAATATATGTACAAGGCCACATGCATTCACATCAGTGTTAGCTCAGCGGTAGAGTTACTCTAACGGGACACTGCGCTTATGCGCAATCCCAAAACTACATTATTTCCATTTGCTTTAAAGGAATACCGGTTAAACATTTAATTCACGTGCTGTGCTTTTTCTGAGCGTGCACTCATGAAGCGCGCTCACACTGAGAGCCTGTCAAAAAGCGCCTGATTATTGGACTAAGTTGTCTTTCGCGTCTAATACTGTCAAAACACACAAGGTTTACATACAAACACAGCTGGTTATGTCTAAAATGAAAGTAAACAGTTGGGAGAGAAACGCGTGCCGCTCTTAAAGGGACAGTAGCAACTAAACATGCTGCCGACTGTCATTAAAGGGATAGTTCACCCAAAAAATATATTTACAAACTCACATTTTGTCTTAAATCTGTATTAATTTCTTTCTTGTGCTGAACACAAAAGAAGATATTTTGAAGAATGCGAGTAACCAAACAGTAGCTGGTCCACACTGACTTTTACAGTAGGAAAAAAATACCATGGAAGTCACTGTGGACCAGCAACTGCTTGGTTACCCACATTCTTCAAAAATAACTTTTATGTTCAACAGATGAAATAAACTAATTCAGGTTTAAAACAACTTAAGCAAATGATGGTATAAAAATGAAACACTATGACAGAATTGAAAGACAGATGACAGAATTTTCAGTTTTGGTTAACTATTCTTTTAATGTTAATAAAACAACAAAACAAAGAAAAAAAGTATAATTGGTGTATGTAGTGTATATAGTGTTTTATTTTAATATTTGTTCGTTCAATTTCTTGAATGTTACTGCTAAATACTGTACCTGAAAAATAAAGCACTGTTCGTTTTATTTGTATATTATGTGATTTGTAATGTATATCTTTCTTCTTATTTTATAATAACAAAGATAAAATGATGACAAAGATTTTTATCTTTGCTCACTTTGGCCTAAATGTCTGCCATTCTTTTTTATTTTATATTCTGTTAAGGTGTAAGAGGTGTTATGTTTCTGCACTCTTCCATTTTTAGCAAATTAAGTAAACTTAGTCTAAAAACAATTTTTGTGTTGGTTTGTATTTTTTGTGCTCTGTATGGAACATCAGTGCCTGTTTAAGTGATGAACTCCATGTGTTTGTTTTCAGACATGATAACAAACGTTTTATACTTGTGCTACAACTTTTTGGCCTGTGCTACAAAACTTTCAACCTCTGTAGCACCAGTGCTATGTGAAAAAAGTTAACGTACAGCCCTGCTAAGTCAGTCTAGTTACTAGGAATGTACTACAACCTTTGGAACATAAAAAAAACTACAGTAAAATTACAGTAATTTCTTAAGAATAATTATATACTGTATATACAGTGAGGAAGATATTGGCAAACTTTAAATTATTTAACATGCATTTTTGTTTCAAATACATATGGCATTATTTTACTTCCATAGAATAATGACTCACTGTAATAGAATGAACTATGTTTTGTAATTTAGCCGATGTCTGACTTACTCGATGGCATCATATGCTAATTCTGAAGTGGAGGGATGAAAAATATTCGCTGCAAATAGAACATAAGAGAGTAATTAAAACAAAACAGTTAGGCTACATAAAGTTGCTTGTAAAAGCCTGTGACAAGCGATCATCACGGGCTACGTAGCTACCTGTTTGTATTCAAATTATTATTGTCTGTAAATCTTGTTAAATTTATCTTACCTTGTTTGTCTTGTTAAATATTGCTATTTATAGAAATCTTGAAGGGCGAAATTTATGTTTGACCACCTTGAACGCTAAAAAAAAGTCTGGCATATGGGTTGAAATGGCAAAATGTGAAAGTGAAAGCAGCTTTTTAACCTACGTCACACATTTCAAAACTAACCAGATCGAGTCACGGGAGGAAAGCTGAAACAATAGGCTACATCTATTAGGGCTGGGTGATATGGGCAAAAAATAGCACGATAAAAATTTTCATATCAGTCTATATCGAGAATGATCACAATACATTTCAAATCTTTATTTTTTTCAAGTGTAAAAAAGCAGATTTTTGCTCCTAAGTAAAAGTTGTAGAAACTTGGGTTTATTCTTGAGGAATGAGGTTAGAGGTGCACAGATTTGGCTGAAGTTGGAGATCTGCGATACAAATTGGCAAAACCTAGGAAACGTTGGAGTTCCTTGATGGTGTATAGGTGAGGCCAATCTCCGACGGCTTGTACCTTCCTCTGGTCCATGTATGTTAATGCCATGATTGTCGATGATGTAACCGGTGTAGTGCCGAAATTTGCACCCTGCCAGATTATGCACCCCCTAGTATTGGTAGGTTTAGGGTTAGGTGTGGGGGTGGGGTTGGAATTTGGCAATCAGGTAGCGACTTCAACGAGGGGGTGCAGAATCTGGCAGGGGTGCAGAATTCGGCACAACACCGGCAGGTCGCAGCGCCACTTCCGGTGGGACATTCCACCGAATGGGTAACATTTCTGTCCCCAGGACATTAAAAGTATAACAATGCATGAAAATTAACTCTAAAATACATTTTATTATTAAGCAAAGTGTCTTCACATTTAGCTAACTGCAAAATTTTTAATGTATAATTAAAATCATTAATAAAAACTACCTAGAACACTAGAGAAATAGTAGTTGTTGCATGTCCCCACTCCCTACCTCTATAATGTACCATGAAATATTATAATTAAAATCCTTCAGAAATGTAATTTTTTTGTATTTATGTGTGACGTTATATCCAATCATTTCCTTTTTTTCAAAAGAAAAAAAAAATCCATAACATTTTTGATAAAATACACATTTTAGTCGTGTCCCCCGGGTTTACACTCAGTCCTGTTACCCTAACACATTCCCCCCTATGATCAACTTGGAACATTCCAAAATATATTTTTTTCAACAGGAAGTTGCATTATCCAGATCTTCTGAAGGCAATGGGGAGACCAAAGGTAAGTCCTCTCATTTTCTTTTCAATATATTTGATGATATTTCAACTGTGTCTGAGAGGGTCAATCTCAACATACTGCCCTGTTACCTAAATTATTTTTTGATGTTATTTGTTCATTTTAAAAATACACATTTTTAATAAATCACTAGAATTTGCTCAGTATCCTCATGCTATTTAGCATGTATTTGCTAATTCTATGCTAAGAACTCAGTCCTGTTACCTTCAGTCCTGTTACTCATATAAGCCATAACAGGACTGAGTAATAGTAAAAGGAGGGATTTGCATTCTCTGGTCCATTTATAGTGTGAATATTATGTAATATAAATCATATTATGTAATGTTATGTAAAGTAAATCATATTACAGCTTATGTAATATGATTTACTTGTTCTTTTTATGTTTTACAGTTACCATTACTTATATTGTAAATGTATCATATGTACCAGGTTTTTACCATACTTGCAGAGTGCGAATCCACCACAGAGAAGCCGCGAATTTATGATTGATGTATGATGGTGATCTATACCCTGGTGTCATCACAGATACAGGTGAAACACATGTTGAGGTCTGTTGCATGCAAAAGATTGGATTCAACAGGTTTTTCTGGCCAGCCCATGAAGACATCCTTTGGTACTTGTTTGAGGACATTGTGTGAATACTACATTCTCAATCTCTGTTTTCTCTGTTTCTCCCTCTTTCCATCTTGATTGTGATGAACTACATGGACATAACACATTCCTTCAGAATAAAAAACAGACAAAAAAAATAGTCCCGCACGCAGACCTCTAGCATGCCGTGCTGTTTTTTTTTTTAATGATGATGCAAAGTTCCCACAATTTTATTATTATTTTTTTTAATTTTTTTTTATAGGCCTACATTTTTATGTATCAGCTGCCAGAGTCATGCCAGGAGTCACTTGCATTTATGTGTGACTTCATATCCAATCAATGATTTCCTTTTTTTCAAAAGAAAAAAAAAATCCATAACATTTTTGATAAAATACACATTTTAGTCGTGTCCCCCGGGTTTACACTCAGTCCTGTTACCCTAACACATTCCCCCCTATGATCAACTTGGAACATTCCAAAATATATTTTTTTCAACAGGAAGTTGCATTATCCAGATCTTCTGAAGGCAATGGGGAGACCAAAGGTAAGTCCTCTCATTTTCTTTTCAATATATTTGATGATATTTCAACTGTGTCTGAGAGGGTCAATCTCAACATACTGCCCTGTTACCTAAATTATTTTTTGATGTTATTTGTTCATTTTAAAAATACACATTTTTAATAAATCACTAGAATTTGCTCAGTATCCTCATGCTATTTAGCATGTATTTGCTAATTCTATGCTAAGAACTCAGTCCTGTTACCTTCAGTCCTGTTACTCATATAAGCCATAACAGGACTGAGTAATAGTAAAAGGAGGGATTTGCATTCTCTGGTCCATTTATAGTGTGAATATTATGTAATATAAATCATATTATGTAATGTTATGTAAAGTAAATCATATTACAGCTTATGTAATATGATTTACTTGTTCTTTTTATGTTTTACAGTTACCATTACTTATATTGTAAATGTATCATATGTACCAGGTTTTTACCATACTTGCAGAGTGCGAATCCACCACAGAGAAGCAGTGAATTTATGATTGATGTATGATGGTGATCTATACCCTGGTGTCATCACAGATACAGGTGAAACACATGTTGAGGTCTGTTGCATGCAAGAGATTGGATTCAACAGGTTTTTCTGGCCAGCCCATGAAGACATCCTTTGGTACTTGTTTGAGGACATTGTGTGAATACTACATTCTCAATCTCTGTTTTCTCTGTTTCTCCCTCTTTCCATCTTGATTGTGATGAACTACATGGACATAACACATTCCTTCAGAATAAAAAACAGACAAAAAAAATAGTCCCGCACGCAGACCTCTAGCATGCCGTGCTGTTTTTTTTTTTAATGATGATGCAAAGTTCCCACAATTTTATTATTATTTTTTTTAATTTTTTTTTATAGGCCTACATTTTTATGTATCAGCTGCCAGAGTCATGCCAGGAGTCACTGGCAGCTGCCAGAGTTCGTGCCAGTTGCCACGGTCTTTTTCGCCGTTTACTCAGTGTTCTCAGTGGCGCAAGGTGGTGTTTTTTTTAAATGATGATGCAAAGTTACCACAATTGTATTATTATTATTATTATTATTATTATTATTATTATTATGTAGGCATATCAGCTACCAGAGTTCGTGCCAGGAGTCACGATCGTTTGTTGCCGTTTCTGCTGTAAACTACACTTTTTTTAAATAAAAGATTTGATGATGCATATACCAGTGTAAGGATAAAAGAAACTCAGATACTTTGATCTTCTGAGACAGATGATAATACAGATCCTAAGAGTTAAGAGATACTTTGATTACTGTAGAGGGTAATTCCATGCAAATTACCTTCTGTTCCCATTGAGGTGAAAATCACCCAGGTCTGGGACCTGGGTTAATATTAATTAAGTTGTACTGAGTTATATTAACTATCGGGGGCTAGGAAGGGGTTCTAGCAAAACCGCTGATTAATGTTTGAGTATTACATGTGTAACTGTAGGGGGCTAAACAGACCTACTATTTAAAGCATGTTAAATAGTATTAGTCACAAACCTCTGAATAAGGATCAAACTGACGAGTTTTGTGATCGTGGGGCCCACGCATAGCGGCCGCCATGAGGTACCCTAAGCGACATAGATTCCTAATGAACGGGTAAATATAAAGTAAAGAGTTAACTCGAATAACCAAATGTCAGAATAATATCAATAATTAAAGACCGACAAACAACCAATTTGCCTTTCAACCTAAATTAGAGGTCATACTAAAATGGAGTCAGATTAGATAATAAAATGGAGTCAGATTTGAGTTAAACCTAAATTGAATAACTGCGCGCTGAAAAGACCGAACGCAAGAAACCTTCATCCACCACTGGATATCTTCATTGGGCCAAGTGTGTGGACCTTACACCAGCAAGCAGATGCGGTCAGAATATGAACCCAATAAGCTAAATTGCATTCTCCATAAAGAACATACACACACATAAGTGCCCAGCTGCCGCTAGCCAATACTGTATTGCACACACGCACGTGCGCACACAAACATTTATTTATTTAATGTAACACTTTTATTAACTAGTTGCTTGCATATTACTATATTAGCTGTTTATTAGTACTCATAAAGAACATGGCTTATTATGCGTGACCATATTCATATAATTTTATTAAAAAAAAACTGATGTAGTTTAGGCCTACAGCAGAAACGGTGACAAACGATCGTGACTCCTGGCACGAACTCTGGCAGCTGATACATACAAATGTATAATAATAATAATAAATAATAACAATAATAATAAATAACACACCTGTCGGAACTTTGACTAACACCATCGCTCACCACTGAGAGCAGTGTAGTTTTTATGAGCAAACAGCAGAAATGGCGAGAAAGACTGTGGCAGCTGGCATCTGGGGATGCCACCGGAAGTGGCGCTGCAACCTGCCGCTGCCAGGATATGCGCTTGCCCTCTCTCCATTGTAACCGAGGAATTGGATGGTATCATGGTGGAACTCACACTTCTCCAGTTCCCTCTCATAGGTTCACTTCAATGCTGCGATGACATCATCACTATGGGAACACCTCCGGTGTGACGAATGTCTGAAGCCCTTATACCATCACGCCAATTTATTGGCCAATAGAGCTTAGCGCCGCAACGAGCATAAGTCACCTGTGCTCATATATGCATGCTGCCCACTATTTCATCAGATTTTAATTCCTTCAGGAAGCTAATCATCTGTTGCCCATGGAAAGAAATTCTTGTGTTCTAAGCCATCTATTCATATAGAGCAGTTTACTCCTCTAAGGTGGACACAATGAGTTTT